TACTTATAGCATCATGGTTGTCTAATTTAAATTATTTTATTAAATGATTCCCTGCAATATAATGATGATTAAAATCTTAATTTAATTCTTTAAATTACCTAAACAATAATCTGATAGTTAATTTAACTTATCATTGAATATCCATCCTTCTAAAGTATTAATAGAATTGAAATTTTTCTTGTTAAATAATTTAATATGTAGAATTTGATTGAAACAGCCATTTTTATTACAAGAACTACAATTTTCAGGACATTCATCAACAAAAAGTTAAAAGTCTTGAATTCCCCAATCTCCAATCATGCCATATAAAATTATTGTTGCTGAAGAGCTTGAATGTAACACAGTTTCCTGTATTGTATCTACAGAATCACAACATTATTAACAATTAATAATTTACCCACAAAAATTTGTTAAACTAGATTCTGAAAAATATGATTTATTATGAACAACCTCATTATCAATATGGATTAAGAAATTCTATCCTTGCCAATAATCAATGCTAAATGTAATATTAATCTTACTTCCAAAATTTAAATGAAAAAGTTAGTTGATGATGAGGAGGCAATTCGAAAGTCTTGGCCATATAAGCACAATTCCAAAATATGGCGGATCCTCCAAAAATCTTTTAACCATTACAATATGAAGGAAAGCCACTACATATGTTGCAACAATAATGAATACTCCAATCTAATTTTTTCATAATTTTGCAATACCATTTAAATATGAAAAATCACCAAAAAAATTTTCATAAATTAAAGTTGAGCTCAAAGTACTAAATAGCAGAAGAATTAGATAAAATATCTTTGCTGATTATTCTAATCTGCAATTACACAACAAAAGATTCACTTTAGCAGAATTTCTGGACCACATTTTCTTAATTAATTTATTTCTACATTATAATAGATTTTAAAATTATTTATTGCTTGATATGTCTTAATAATAATGCATCATAATTATATGATTAATAACCATTAAAAAAGCAATTCATCTTAAAACTTATTTCAGAGTTTGTTAGCATTGCTAATTGGATAATCCGAGTGTTATTGCAAGGAAAAATCTGGTTAATCAAGATTGAATACCACTGAATAACATTAAACAGAATAACTAACGAAATTTTAAATATTAGGATAAAAATATTGTAAATAGAATCAAAACATAAATAATATATAAGATAATTTTACTTGTTCATTTTTGGAATTTTATACCTTTGTATTAAAGATGAAGCTAATCAAAATATAAATAAAATTATTATAATGATGCAATAGAAAAAGGTTAAGCCTTAATCACTTTAAAAAGTAAGTCCCAACTGTTTGCATAAAATAATTGTAGCAATCCTTATTTTGTGTAAAGATTTCTTAAATGTAAAAATTTCTTATTTAACTTATAGAATTTAATGGCTATTGATTCAACAAATGAGGATTTAGCTAATCTAACATAATAAATATGTTTGATTGAAAAACAATAATTAAAGAAGAGTTTCTTATAAACAATAAGTAATATGAATAGTCCAAAAAATAAGATTATTTAAGTCATGAATCCGTAGATGTTAGTTAACAAGTCTGCATTAAGTTTATATTCTTATAATTTACCTATGCTGTCCAAATGTTCATTTCCAATTAAATTATTAAAAAAGTCGAATATGTTCAATTTAATTAAAACAGGTGTTACTGTTACAGAATCAGAAGATTCAAAATAAATTTGTATGTTTTATGGAAATTGAATATTTATAAACCGCAAATAAGATTAAAATTAGAGTGTGTCAAAAATTTCTAGGCTTGATTAGGGATCCCCTAGTAGTAACATTAAAGCACTTTTACATCCTAACCCAATCATAAGGTAATTTCCCAAAGTTTAAAATTTTTTTGCAGCATTTATTTGAGAATTAGATAATATTGTGAGTTGTAACTCTTATGAGACCAAACCTAAATTAAAATCATGCTCATCTATTACACCGTCCTAAATACTGGCAACCAAGATTGGTGAAGTAGATTTAGAACTTAAAATTTAGATTTCAAATTAATAAACTGGATCATTAGGTATTTCTTTGTCAATTTCAATTACTGAAGTAATAAATATTTTATTTTCTACTCCTTCTATTTTAGTTAAGATGGCTTGAGTAAAATTTGATGAAGCTCCCGTCCATTTAACTTTTTGACTAAAAGTTAAATATACATATTATTTATCTTATGTTTGGTTGAGATATGTTAGTAAAATTTATGTAATACGATAGCATTTATTTGGTATATCTTCATTACATTACCAATTATCTTCAATTTAGCACATTTACGAACACCCATCATAATTTTACTCGTTTCCATCATCACACCCTTCATTTTATTGCCTTATTGTATCTCCACATATAAATTATTTATCAGAATATTATAATCTTTCTTCATCTTCCACTTATCCTTCCTTGTTAGCTAAACATTTTTTATTATCATCTGTTTCATACCCTCTCTAACATTCAATACAATTTCCCTAATTACATTTATCACATTTTTCATCACATTAAAACTAACATTAATAACACCCGTCAAACTGGGTTTCATTTTTATCGTCACATTCCTCTAAACCGGGTACCACATATCCATCACCACAAATAGGTACACATTTACCATTTATCTATTGAAAATAATCTAGACATGAAAAACAAAAGTCCTTAGTAGCACATGAAAAGCAATTCTAATCACATTCAAATCTGCAATCATAACACCCATCATTAGGTTCATAGTTGCCATCATCACATTATTCAGAAGATAGCCTAGCAATTCGATTATCTCCACACTTTTAAAAACATTTGTTATCTAAGAGAATCCATCCATCTTAACACACATAACATTATGAATTTATACAAGTTAAACATTCTAATTAACAACTTTCATAACATTTATAACAACCATCAAATTAAATATTATTTTTATCGTCGCAAATCTCATTCTCTATTATGAATCCATCATTACATTAAGGTACACATTATTTACTTTTACCATAATGATGAAATAAAGGTTTA